TGTTTCTTTTTTTAAATGTCAATTTTGACAGGTTAAGGAAATCACGTGACCTATTTTGTAGACGCCATTTGACATCATTTCTTAAGCAAAATCTACTGCCAAAATCAAATTTCACATAAAACGATAAATAAAAAAGTTTCCCATTTGATGCGGACTTTATCGGTGACACTGTATATATATTTATTTATTTTTTTGCAATTTTGCTGGATTCGCCTTGCTAGCCTGATAGGGCTCTATTCGACCATGGGTGCATCAGCCAAGGATGCTTTCCTGATCATCTCTGGCCGCAGAAGATATCTGCCACAGTAGCAGACAAAAGTACTACAAGTTCGATTAGACCACGGCCTAGTAGCCTCGATTTTTGTTTTCTAATTATGCATACTAACCTGCATTGATCAGACATCTTGCAAGTGATTCCAAATTGTTTTGCAACTGCCCTATATAACTCTTTGCTAGATTTGTGCATTATTTCTGGTCCTTTGGCAGGAACAGTGGGCGAAGAGGCTTCGCTTTGAGATTGTAGTCGGGTCTAGAAAAAAACAATGTATTATTGTTTTTCAGTGCCAGGAGATACATTGCGAACGTAATCTCCCTCCTAAGATATCGAGGTCAAAATTTATGTAAAAAGATATCAAGTATCATATACCTGTGCAGGTATATGATACATTTAAAAGTACTTTTCATAGAAAGTAAAAACAATTTTGGTATTTAATTGAACAGTTAATTATCAATGCGAGGTTTCCATATATTTTTGTTTTTCACCGTATACATACAACTATAAAATTTATTTTGAGATTTGTTATATCAAATAATACAACAACATTAAACGTTTGATATAAATACTACATTTATTAATTTTCAAGTGAAACAGTTATGTACGCCTATGGAACAGCTACTTGAAAATTATTTTTCACTCCTCTGCTTAAGAAGTAGATGTGGTTGGTTATTATAGCTTACCTCTTCTAGCACATGTTCGTAAGAAGGGGGTGGACTGGAAGGTATGGTCTCCTGCCCACAGCTGTTTTCTAAGATGGGGGGGACGTTGGTCCTGGGATTGACCAATTCGTTTTCGCAGTCAGCATTAGTCTCCACCGAATTGCTTCTGGTAGAAGCATTCGATTTCGACATTCTGCTGAATTTAATTTTGAAAGGTGCCACTTTTGATGACTGCAATTAACCCTGTATAATTAATATTTTGGTAGTAGCCATCGTTGAATCTGCAAACGTGAAACTTGTCTGGTAAATCACAGAAATTAAATATATTTCAAAATCCGACGCACGCCCATGACATTTTCGAAAACAATGGTGATATTAGAAAATAGAGAATTCATATGACAGTTTTCGTAAAAGGTTCATGTATGGGAAAAATATTAATTATTTGTAAAAGAAATGAAGAAACATATTCTGAAAAGAAAAAAATCAACTTCAGATTGACTCGAACCCATCATTTCATTACATTACCTAATGTATAAGATACAAAACTTGTCTCGAGATTTACCTATTTTATAAAAAAATACCTTGAATTTTCAAATCGAAATCAATAAACATATTGTATTATTCAGCTTTTTATATGAAATACATTTTGTGATATTGAACGGAAGTAATTTTTTGTTCATGAATATCAGTTTTTTATCGACATTTTTTGGGTATTTTCATCTTCCACAATCTGAAAAATATTAAAATTATAATGGAGAACTTTATACAAGTGTAGACTAGGGCTGATTAACGGAAAAACAGATTTTTTTTAACCACCGACCAACACGGCAGTCAATTCGAGTGAGTGAACAAAGCACCCACGTCGAATTGCTTGGCTACCGACCGAGTTCATTATCTTTTTTTCAGAGCATGTTGAAAAGGATTGTTTTCAAAAATGTTTTTTACTATTAATTATAATTTTTCAGTTATGCATGTTCCTATATAAATTGGTATATCAACCATCTTATGTTCCGCCATTTTGATTTGACTCAATCTTAAACCCTTCCATTTGATATACATATCATGAGGGTGATTAAGAAAGATAGTCCACATCTTTACGTTTCCGCCATATTGAATACACATATCAAGATGGTGCATAACAAAATAGTCCGGCATCGTGGGTGGTCCGTGATATTAGATTTATAGTGACATCATTTTATTTTTCGTATTCTTTTTCAACAAACCCTTTTGAGCGATACTCGTATCGTTGTGGTGCATAAAAAACGAATTTCTCCATATTGGATTTGATATGACGTGATGTTATTTCTTTATTCTTTTCGAGAAACCCTTTCATTTGATACCCATGTCAAGGAGGTGCATGAAATAACCATTTCACCTTCTTGGAAATTCTGTCATATTGGATTTAGAGTGGCTCATGTTATTCTTTGTATTATTTCAAGAAAACTCTTTCATTTTATACTGGGTTGCATAAAAATTCGGTCCGCCCAAAATGGCGGACCGTTTTATTACTATACGATGTCGTTAAGGGATTTTTGGCCAATGTTTCACTACGAATTCAAATTAAACCAAAGCGCTGCCGAAATAGCCAAAAAAATTAACCAGGCATTTGGCAATTATGATGTTAATGAACGCACTGTTCGACATTGCTTTGCGAAATTTCGTTCCGAAGATTTAAGCTTCGAAGATAATCTTCGAAGTCATCCAACTACAGTAATTCAGGAGGAGGATTTGAAGACTCTGGTGGAAACTGGCCCACAAACGGTGCGTGGGATGGCGAAAAACTGGGCGTCAGCTTCCATGGGGTTTTTGATAGTTTAAAAGGTACTGAAAAGGCCAAAAAGCTCGAAAAGAGGGTGCTCCACGATTTGAACGATTGACATAAAATGTCACGTTTGCAGGTCTGTTCTTCTTTGATTTTGCGCAACCAAAAGATCCTTCTTTGTATTGGATTGCCCGTGTGATGAAAAAGTGGATCACTGACGACAACGGGAGACGTTCAGAACAGATGATGGAAACCGATGAGCCAAGCAGACACTTCCCAAAGGGAGAAATCCACCAAAAAAGACCATGGTTACTGTATGGTGATCAACGGCTGGCGTGAATCACTATAACTTTCTGCAACCGGTCCAAACCGGGAAATCGAAAAAAAAAGTACCGAAAATTGCGTCAGCAGATAGTTTCATCATCCTGTTCACACATCCTGCATAGAGGTGTGTCCACCAGCCCAATAATATGGAGGTGTTTTCTTAGTTGACAGTGGCCAGTCTGAAATACTACTGTTACTGGTCATCGCCAGATACATCCTGCATAGACACATTCTGCATAGAGGTGTGTCCACTAGTCCCATAATATGGAGTTGCCAGTGGCTAGTCAGAAATCCTACCTATTTCTCATCCCAAAAAAATATTGATAGTCTCCATACCACTATCAACCAAATTGAAGACAAAGCTGATATATGGTACAATTATAATAAGCTTGAACTAAATAGACTAAAAACTCAAACCATCATCGTCTCCAGTGAAAATATTATACGAACTGGAAGTTCTGTAAATCTCTTGGGAATACAACTGGACAACTCGTTAAATTGGTCCACTCATAACGAGTGTATATGTAAAAAGATATCGTCCCATATATTCCTTCTGAGGTAGATGAAACAGATTCGTAACGAAGATGTTCTACTTAACATCTACTATTGTCTGATTCATAGTAGAATTTCTAACGGCAATATTTTATAATTCTTTTGTGGCGATTGAAATACCAGCCAGTTCTTTTTGAACCCATTCCCCACTTATTCCTTAGGCTTAGTGATGTGGAGTAAACTCCACATCCTGAGCCTTCTTTGATTTTTGAGCCGTCTGTATATATGCGTATTGCAATTGTAGCATCTGACTCGGTGTCCTGTTTTATTTGAATTTTGTAGGGTTCATTAAACACAAACGTGGGTTCAATTTCATCACTGGTTGCCTGCAGCAGAGGTTGCGCAGTGAGCGCTTCAAGCCATTGGCTTAGCCTCAATTGTCCCATTCTTTCTTCGAGGTTTACACCAGCCGTGCGTAGACCTCTCGCGAACCAACTGATAACTTTCTAATAGGTAGAACCTTCGCCAATCAGGACCAGGCAAAAACGGCCTTCACCGACTTTATCGAGTCCCGATCACAGTATTTTTTTGCTGACGGAATGAATCGACGTGTGTTACGTTGGCAAAAGTGTACTGATTCAAATGGCTCTTATTTTGAATAAATTGAGACAACCTTATACATGCAGTGATGTAGTAACTTTGTTTTGTAAATAATATATTGAGTATTTTTTGTCGGGTGCTTGTGCAGAGTAAGATTTACAAAAAAAGAAACTTATTTTTTACCGCCTAGGCATTGAAAATGTCACTTCTATGATCGATGAATGTCGCTAAAATTAACGTTAAATGCCAATCGAAGAAAAAAGTTTCATTGTTAACACGTTTTGATTCTTACCGCGTTGATTTGGGAGGATTTGTTTTTCGATAAATTCAAAATCGAAAAAAAAATTTAAATATTTTTTATTAACGATGCCCATAGTTAATGAGACAACATTGTTTTTTGAGAAATGCACATTTTTGATTTTCTTACATTAACCTTTTATTGCCATGCTGCAAATCAACTACAGTTGGGACAACGAAAGAATACACAGGCGTCATCAATAAAATCGATAAAACATATAGCTTGCACCGTGTTGGGAATCACACGTTGACAGGTAAGACCTCGTTAGTCCTTAGCTAGTACAATTGTCGGCCTTTGAGACTTGTTGTTCGTAGGGGGTCGATAGCTGGTTGATGGTAAAACAGATTTTCACCAGACTTACATCAAAGAGAGATAGAAACAGAAACATGAGTCGTCGTCAATTTCTTAGATATTGTGACCGGTTAATGACGTATTCCTATTCCATTTCTCACATTTCTACGCTTTCAATCCTCATATAACACATGAATAATTGTTTTTCTTCGCAATCGATAAACTGGGCATTTCCTATCTGAAAGTATGTAAATTTTATATCGTTATCCAAAATCGTCAAAATCCCGAATATTTATCGAATGAATCCTAATAATCCCCAACCAAAATTCCAATTTAGAATTTTTGTTGCTAGTACAAGCATTGGTTTCTCAATCAGATTACTTCTAGAGCGTAGTTCAAGGTCATCGCTTAAAATTGTTAAAATGAGAGTTTATATTAACACGAAATGAAACAAGCTCCACAACCCTTACCTAATACGGTTAGATAATGAACCGAATCAACGTTTATTATTCAAAAGATCATTCCAATTCGAGTCTTTCCATATTCAATCAGGTTTTAAGGTGAGTGAGCTTATGTAACTCGGTATTTATTGTCATTAGATCCTCTTTGTAGTTCAATCACGACCATCTAGCCATCGGTGTCCTTGACATATTCATTTCATTAACATTTTTACATATATCAATATTTCATGATAGGGTGTGCAGCAAAACTATTTTGAAGTTTATGCATCCTTTCATAGGAGACTTTGTCGAACAGATAGATCGAGTAGCTCACATATGAGGAAAAATCAATGAAGTACTGCTAAAAGTTAAAATAGAAATGAAAAAATAATCGAAAGCCTAACAGTGATTTAACCAATAGAAACGAAACCACGCCCACAACTAAAGGAATTAATAATGAGATCCAAACTAATTCTGTGGTATCTGCTTTGAGGACAACCAAAACACTTAGTAAACGAAACCAGAACACGTACCTAGTAGACGAAATGTTAGGTATAAAAACCACGGCTAACAAACCCTCGAATGATGCAAGAAAATCCATATTCCACCCTTCTGGAGTTTGCTTCAGATATCGATACGTCAGAAAATTCAGTTTTCAGACATCCTCAACATAAATTTAAATTTCATCAATACAAAGTATATATTGGCACAAGAATTGTTCAATGATGATTTTGATCAACAAATGAAATTTTTGGAGATAATTATGAAACCCCCAATGTGATATCTACTTCAAATATAAATTTTGTATTTTCCAATGAGACAAAATTTTGCCGTTGGTAAACTGAACCCTGCGGAACGCCGGTTGGTGACTAGTATCTGGTGAATCTTATTCAAACGGTACTGTTAATGCCAATACAGAAGATCCTGATGCACAGGATTATAGAATTTGTTTGCAGTAAGACAGTTGCTCTCCACATTATGCTGATCCAGTTCAGAAATACTTTGATCAAGTACTTCTTAAACAGTGTATTGGCATACAAGGAGCTATTGAATAGCCAGAAGAATAGCCA